TTTTTAAACAAACAAAAATTGCATATGCACAAAACACTCGTGCACACACATATAGTTCATAGTACTCACTGAAATACATGTTCATTGTGGAGTGAGCTGGCTAACTCAAGCTGTTTAGTATATATGTTACCTTGTGCTTGCATGCATCAGTGGTCAGAACCCTTAGTGCCCACTCTCAAGTACCAAACATTAACTGTAATCAGCTTGCATCCTCTGACTTCTATAATCCAAATCTATGATCCCAGTTCCTGTGTCTACATTGTTTGTTTTACTGTGGAATGTTCCTTGGAATTTTCAGGTCTAGAATGTACTTATGAAATAGTTGAAGTCACCAACTCGTGGTCTACCAGACAATGTCACCAGAGGGCGCCACGTCACTTAAGGAGACATCACTGTGTCAGAGATTCACAAAGAATTTTATTTATTTATTTATTTGAAGTACAGACTGGATCTAGGCTGGAGAAAAGAAAGCCCAGGGGATCTTAACTGTGATACCCTGCCAACATCTTTGTAAACATCCTTTCACGTTCTCTTTGGACTTTAATCATTCTGCTTTTTAGTTTGTGTGTTTATACTTAGTTTTGTGTGTGTGTTTTAAGTTCATTGGGAATGCCCAGCTTAGAATACTTAACAGATTTGAAATCCCTGGCTTGCTCTGAAAGTGCAAGACACATAGACACAAGCATTTGCTAGAGAGTCTGGGAAGCTTTTAAATATATCTGCAGACAAATAAGTGGCCCCTATTGTAAGTTTCTGCTTTCATATTGGCTTTTAGCTCTTGTACAATGATTCTCAATTCCCAACCCATAGACACACCCACAGTAGGCAGAGACGCTCTGGAGATATTTGTGGATAGTCCTCTAGCTTCCCCTTTCCCAGGTTATTGAGGGAGTGTGGGTGTGGTAACAGATCCTACGGAGGCTGGATGGGTTCTTCCTCTCGGGAGCTGTCACTGAGGCTCTCTGGGTGACAGTATAAAGGCGACTGCAGGGCTCAGGGATTGCTGCAGCTGCGTGGTCCTTCTTCTGAGGGGCTGTGTGAGTGTGCAGAACAGCAAAATGGAGGCGGGGGGCCCTCCTCCTGCCCCTTCTCTCAGAGCACACTGTTGGCCAAAGCACGGAGGCCGTAAGATATGGGAGCTGTGTGTGTCATAATCAAAATAATCAAAGTCTGTATATTTTCTTACTCATTCTTCCAGATAATTCTTTGAGGTAGGCAGAGTGGTGTGTGTGTGTGTGTGTGTTGTCCTCTCTCAATGCCGAAGTGCTTGGAGGCCAGAGGTTGAAGTCAGATGTTTTCCTCAGTCACCTTCCACCTTACTTTTGAGACAGGGTCCTATTCTCTGAATTTGGAGCTCAACCCCCTCCCTCTCTTCTTTGGTGCTGTTACCTCTCCAGCAACCCCTGGGATCGTTAACTCTCTACCTCCCAGAACTGGGATTACAGGTATATTTCACCATGTCTGGCTTCTATATGGGTGCTAGGGATCTGAACTTGGGTTCTCAGACATGTGCAGCAAACACTTCACTCACCAAGCTCTTTCTCCTGCCTCTGGTTTCTGTGTTTGTTCCAGTTTTAGAGACAAATAGCGAAAGTGCATGATATTCACTTTTGGAATGTGAGGTTCCTCCCTGCCTTGGAAGAGCCTCTTCCAACATGGGAAAAGTTAGGTGACGGGATGGTGATGGTAGCTGCTGAGAGCTGGGCAAAGGCTTGATGATATCTACTCCCGGTGGGTGGTAATACTTTCATTCTGTGCCTAAAGCCAGGCCATTTGGGGAGATGGTGAGGGACAGGTGATTACGGGAATGGGAGGATGTTGAACTTGACAGTGAGGGTCTCTCATGGGGTCTGAACAAGTTAAGATTTTGGTCAACACTGGAGGTGCTGAAAGCTTTAGTCGGCAAAGTTAGGGGAGGTGAGAGAGCAGAAGGAAGTCAGGGTGAGGGAGTGTCTCAGCGGCCTCTAGCACCTTCTAGAAGGATGCTGAGACGATGATGTGCTGCTGGAGCACGAACACAGGTGGGGGCTTCACGTGTGGGAGGACAGAAGGCACAGCGGCCACTACCTTCCTGTAAGGAGCCTTGATACTGGTGTTTCAGGGGGGTTAGGTTATAGGTATTGACTGGAAAGAATCTAGAGGGGACCATTGGTTGCAAAGTTTCAATTTTTGCTACTGTGGAATACATTCTGAATACACGAGGGGGCAGGACAAGATCTGTCCCTTGCTATTATTATTAAATATATAATATAAATAATATATAATATTCAATATTAATTATACTATATTATTTATATATTAATATATATTGATAATACATAATATATAATATAATACTTACATTATATTATATTTTATTATTATGTTATTGATGTCTTATTTTTCAATATTAAATCTTGGACTTAAGGAAAGCCCCTAACTCTTGGCATGTGTTAAGACACAAGGCAGCTATTGAGAAGACTTTATTGGGAGCTCCGGTGCCACTGTCACTTGCACCTCTTCCCAGCCCCTTTAAGTCCCACGATCCCAGCCCTATGCTGGAAAAGACCCAGGGCCATTGCATGCATGGGAATTGCGCGGCAGCATCTGAGCTCAAAGTACGACGCTGGAGGCACCACTGGGTAATATAAGGGGAGACTGAGGCCATTTCTCTTTCTGAAAATTGCCATCTGTAGTTCTCTTCTTTAAAACACAAATTATTTACCCTTGTGTGTGTTCACATATGTGTGAACACAGGTGTGCATCATAGCACACACATGGGACTCAGAGAACAACTAACAGGAGCAGTTTACCCCTTGTGAGTTTGAGGAAAAGAGCTCAAGTGGTCAGGTTTGGAGGCGAGCAGCTTTACCAGCTAGCCATTTTTGTCACCCTCCTTTACATACCGCTCTTTCAGGGCTGAGTGGTTACCAGGTTCAGGGTAACACCCTCAAGAACTTTTATCTAACTCCATTCTGCCCACCCCCATGACTTAGGCCTTAAGTCTTTTCTAAGTTATACGTAGAATAAGCCCAAGGAATATATCAACCAATTCCAGACTCAAAGATCTTCAGTGTCTGCCAGGTTTGACCTCTGCTGGCCCCTCTCCTGCATCCTAAGGCCAGGGTGTTGTGGCTGACCACTGACTTAGGCAGAGACAGCTTGTTCAGGTAAGGAGGCTCACTTGGGCCAATTAACCATAGGAAGAGTTGAAAGGAACCTGAGAATTCCAATTAGGCTCCAACTAATGAGCTGGAAACTTTGGGGAAATCACTATGGGCAATGAGGGGAGAGTGATCATCTTCTTCTTAATTAGCACAGGAAAAAGTTGTGGTCCAGCTGGTAGCCTGGAGAAGAAATGGCTAGAGGGAGGACGTTGCTGTATGCATCCAAAGGGGGACTCCGGGAAGGTGGGGAGCAGGGGTTGTTGAGCAAACCTGGATCCCTTCCCCTTACAGGGTAGAAAAAGGAAAAGCAGAAGTGTAGAGGTGCAAGCCTGAATACAGAGTACCCGTTATCCAGCTGCTCTTCCCACGGGAGCCTAAAGAGCAGGGAAGAAACCCTTTGAGGAACTCCACTGTCCATTCAGTCGTGTGATACACCGACAGCCAGATTGCTGTTATACTTGTCAGCTCTCTCTCGGGCAATCCCGTGTTGCTTAGTAAGGAAACCGGAGGAAAAGCAAAACATAAACCAACAAAAACCCACCTGCTGCTGTCAGAGGTCACAGACCACCAACAGACTTTCAGAGGGCCCTGTCTATCAGCCATGCACACTGGGGCACCTAGGAAACTGAAGAGCGAGCAAGCTGTAAGTCAGAGGGCATACCTATCTTGGCTAAGGTCTTCCTCTGTCTCCAAGCCTGAGGATCTAGGGACAATAAGCCTGTGGAATCAAGTTGGCAGCCGGCCACTCCTCCCCTCCTCATTAGGAGATCCTTTGGGAAAACCGGCCTAGCAGGGGGCACCTGGTGGTTTTCCCCTTGGGGTACCCCACTGAACCTAGGTGGGGGGCACAACACGTACTAAGTCCTGCACCTGAGCTGGGGGCGCTATACTCAGCGTCCTGGATGGTTTGTGTGGGGGGCGCGTTCCTGGCCACCTCTAAATAGCCTGCAGCCCCTACTCAGCCCCAAGCCGTGGCGAGTCAGCCCGGTAAGCCTTTTCCCCTCCCGCTTCGGGCGGCTTGAGCCCGCGCCCGCTCCAGTTGCTGCAGCTGCCACTGCTGGCGGCTGCGGGGAGCGCGGGGCGCGCGCCGAAGAGGCTCCGGCTGCGAGGACAGGGACGAGGAGGAGCCAAAGGAGGAGAGGAAGAAGCAGCAAGCGGAGTCCGAGGAGCCTCGGGGTCGTGGAGACCCAACTCGAGGGGTCCCGTAGAGCACCGGCTAGGGGACAGAGAAGGCAGGGCAGCCGGCCGCAGCCAACCTGCCGCGGCCCCGCGAGCATAGGAGGCGGCGATCCAGAAGCTGAGCGAAACCCGGGGGAGGAAGGGTGGCGCGGGCACGCCCGGGCGGGAGAGCGCGGATTCTCCGATCCTAACGAGCTGTCGCCTCATCACCCGGGAGCTGCTCGGGGACGGGCGGGGGACCCCGGGCCCGGGCGCAGCGCACACGCGTGGCGCACGCCAGGCGGGCCGGGCGGCGCCTAGGGCAGCCGGGACCGCGCGCACAGAGCTCGGGGAGGCACAGACCCCGGGCACGGGGGGCCCGCGGCGCCCCCTGGGCTCTCGGTGCTCTGCATAGCCTTAGGAGAGATCGGGGCCTGGGTCCGGGAGTGGGAACCACCCGCGCTCATCCCCTCCCCCCCCGGGCGGGCCAGCGGCCCGGGGGAGGGCGGGCGGCGGCGCTTGGCTGTATATATCTCCGCGCGCCCCGCCAGGTCGCGCACAGCGCCCCGAGCCCAGGCGCCTCCCCGCCCCCCCTCCCCGCGTTCCGCGGCGGCGGCGGCAGCAGTAGCAGCAACATGGCTGTTGATGGGTGTTCGGGGTGGCGCTGGCGGCGGGAGGAGCTCCCTCGAGCCCCTGCGCCGGCCGCCCGTTGCTAGCTATGGCAAACGGTGGCGGCGGCGGCGGCGGCAGCAGCGGCGGCGGCGGCGGCGGCGGCGGCGGAGGCAGCGGTCTTAGAATGAGCAGCAATATCCACGCGAACCATCTCAGCCTAGACGCGTCCTCCTCTTCCTCCTCCTCCTCTTCTTCCTCCTCCTCTTCCTCCTCGTCCTCGGTCCACGAGCCCAAGATGGATGCGCTCATCATCCCGGTGACCATGGAGGTGCCGTGCGACAGCCGGGGCCAACGCATGTGGTGGGCTTTCCTGGCCTCCTCCATGGTGACTTTCTTCGGGGGCCTCTTCATCATCTTGCTCTGGCGGACGCTGAAGTACCTGTGGACCGTTTGCTGCCACTGCGGGGGCAAGACGAAGGTAACGCGCGCCCCGGTCGCCCGCCCCCTGCGCCAGCCCCGCCGTTTCTTCGCGTCCCTTGCAGCCCACCTCTTTGCTCCGCACGGCATCTTGCCTCCTTCCGTCCCTGCCTGCCTGGTCCCCACTGTCTGCCCTTCCCTCCCTTCTCCCTGCGCCCTCGGATTGGGGGCAAGATCTGTGCGCCAGCGGTGAGGAGTTGACCCCAGCTGGTGCGCTCCAGGACGCAGACCCCCGCTTTAGTTTCCTGTTTATTGTAGGGTTGTTGGTGGCTGCGTGCCTCTTGGGTACGGTGGTGTGGAGCGAAGAGAAGAAACCTCGTTGGCAACAGAGAAAGCTGGAAGACCCTGGGTGCGTGTCCGGTACCACTCACCGGCCGCGGCTAGGCTCTTCATGGTGGGCCGGTAGGGGCAGATCCGCTTATACTCTAGGAGCTTGCTGGAGAAATGAGTTCATAGGGTTCCAAAGCCCTTGTCCTTTGGGCGAGGAAGAAAATCTCTTGCATTTGGGAATTCTGAGGGAGTAACGTGGCTGGAGAAAGTGGGGTCATAAGGGTTAATAGAAAGTTGGAAAGACTCATTTCAGAACGGGGGTCAACCCGTGGAGAGTCACTTTCTGAATGTGGCATGATTGCAAGTCTGATGTCACCGCCCACTCCATCTTTTACATTTTCTTTGTAGAACATTCCCCTACCCCAAGTACTTTCGCTGCCTCTGCACTCCTCTCCAAGGCCACCCACTTTGGGTCCCCACAAATGCAGCCAACAGTTCCAAGCTATAGCACAAGGGCAGCCCGCCTCAGACTCTGAGCGGCTTTGCGCAGCCCCTTCTTGGCATTTGATGTGGCTGGAAGTCGCCTTAAGCTGTTCCAGGCAGAGACGCCCACCGGCATCAGGACTCACTAGCTGTATGGTTGCTAGGCTGACTCCTGGGTTGTGGCCATATCCCTAGAGGTGTCCCTGCCCACCACCTAGCACTGGCTGGAGGTGGGGGGCCGGGGGTGGGCAGTGTTTAGGAGAGAACTACAGAATGACTAAAAGAAAGAACTGGAAATAAAGAGAGGGAGCTGAACTGGGCGCCTCCTCTTTGAGAGTAATTCTCATCTAAGAAGACTTCACAGCACCCACATTTTTTGGAGGGAGGAGATGTGTAGGGGGAATTGTACAAGACAGACACTCATCTTGGTCCCCAAATGTTCAGACCTCATCTAGTAAAGTTAATCCCGGGACCCCCTCAGGCTTCACGGGACCCAGCAACTTGTAGCAGCCTGCTGACTGCTAAGGAGAGAGAGAGAGAGAAGTTAGGCTAGGGGAAAGGCTGACTCTGAAACCCAAGGGCAATGGAAGCACTCTGTGTCATTAATTTTACATCACTGTAGGTGCTGGGCTCAGCTGTGTTTTGTGGCAGCACATTTGTGTTTTGGAAAATACTGGTGTGTTGGAATAAGGGAGGAAAAAGGAAAATCATCCTTCTTTGCTTTCTCTTCCCATTACTCTGAAAGCCTCGAGTGGTGGAGTCACCTTCTTGACGATGGAGGTTCCCCCTTCCTTTTCAAGGAGAAAGATTGCTGGCCTTCCAGAGAAGCCTTCAGATTAAGCAAGGTTCCTACAGCCAGACCCAGAGAAGCCTTCTACCTGATCAGACTTCCCTTCAGCCTGATCATAGAATTAATCAGTCATTCTCTCTTCTCCACCTCCAGCCCATCCCTAGAGTTTCTCCTTCTCATATTGAGACTTGACAACTGTTTTAGTGGGTATGGCAGCTCACAGTTGCACACACCTCAATTATTGTCTAGATGGAATTGGTTTAGTTTGAATTTTTAAGAACTACCTTCTATTTTTCAGAAAGTGAACAATTTTGATCATAATGAATATGTTTTATCATTCTGATGCAGCTTTTATCATCTCTTTATGCTAGGGTTACCCAGTGCTTGTATAGAGCCCGTTATTATATGCTTTTTAGAGAATTTACATACAGAATCTCTTTCCTGAAAAAATGACCAGCATAGTTTCTGTCAGTTTTTTTTTAAAAAAGGTTTTGTGCAAGGGTAATTAAAAGGCAATACGTATTTGTCTACATACTTTTTTAGCCTGAAGACCAAATGAGTACACATAGTTGAGAGTTTCTATACAGAATCAACTCCACCAACCCGGAATAAGAGATAATTGGGGTTTATTGAAAGATTGAAGGCCAAAACAAAATAGCATCAAGCTATTTTTGATATCATGAGTTCTTTAAGAATCATGCCCAGATCTCTTAATACCCACTTCTTGATTTGTTTGATTAAATTGCATGTACTCAACTCACTGTATCTAACAATGGCAAGTGAGGTTTCTTGGAAGCTTTTCTTTCTACCTTTTAGGTTCTGCATTCATTTTGCAATCACCCCCCCCCTTTGCTTTCCAAGTATCTGGTCATTTTGTCAAGACTTAGTGCAGAATAAAGAATTCAGCTGAAGTTTAGAACATTTGTACTGATATTCTCCCCAAGCAAACCTTTTCTGCTTTTCCACAGAAACTTCCTTGTACTCACCCTCAGGCCTATTTGTCCATCCCCACCCTTATCCAGATCCGTGTGCTTTTCTAGGAGCTAGAGCTTTGGGAAAGGTATCTTCTGGGAAAGGCACCTGAAATTCCCAGGGAGACGTGTTTCAGCAGGAGCTTGGAATCCTGTGCATTTGGTCTCCAGGTCTGCACCATGTTTTTTGCTGATAGGAACCCAGGACTGTGAACATACATCTTGGGGCCTTTGCTCTTTTGTACCTTTGACCTACACATAGCATATAGCTAATGGCTTCATCATTTAAAAATAGATTGTGGACATTTTGGGGGGAGTCGGGGAGTAAGGAAGAACATTTATGCCTGGTGAAGTGGCATATGTCTGTAATTCCAGTAATCGAGGACAGAGACAGGAGGATCATGAGTTTAAATCAGCTCGAATTGTGTAGCCGTATTCAGTCTAAGAGTGAAACAAAGTAATAGCAGCAAGCCTCTCCACCTCTGTGTAGAAGGGGGGTATGGTCTTGCCAGCACTGCGCTTTTCTGAGCTTCTTCATTGCTTCCCTTCAGCACGTCAGCAAGCACTGGTCATTTGGCCATGATATTTTGAGGTTCAATCCAGTCCTGGATTGTAGTTGAACATGAGGGTTATTCAGGCAGCCTAGATAAACCATTTAACTTCTCTGACCCCCGTGAGATTTGAGGGTTGAAACCCAACTCTGTTCCCTGCTTTGGGGTTCCACACAGGAGAATGGGAGGAGAAAGGAATTGTGGGGAAATATTTTAGCTCGGTGGGCTTTGCAGTTCCCCAGATCCATTTGGAATCTGGCTGTCAACCATATATGCATCTTTGTTCTCTTGATTTATTCATCTTCTAGCATATGGTCTACTTCTCCTTAAATGTCTTCTGGAGAAAGAGGCCACTTGTGGCTAGGTCTCTGGTTTGCTGCAGGACCTGCATGTGGCCGGGCATAGGCTCACTGATAATCTCAGTCAGGACTGCCATCTCTGTAGCAGCTTGGGCTTGATCAAGGATGGTCTGCATGTTGTGAATTATTGAGGTGTTGTCTCCATGGCTGTGTCCAAGAAAACAACACAATTTCTCCGACAAGCTCGGGAATAATATAAATATCAGTTCCCATTATGGTTTGGTAATTACCTGGGGTCTGGTCCAGTGCGTTTAATCAGAACTGCGGCTTCAGCGCCCTGGAACTCTCGATTCCAGATTGGCCCCAGTGCATGGTTTCCTCTTGGCCTGGCGGCTGCCAGCACCAATGACCTTCACATACTCGTTTGTGGTAAGGTCACTTGGGGTGGCCCAGTCATAGGGGACCTGACCTGGCCTTGTCCAGATTGCTTGTTCTCATTGTTTATTAAAAACAAAAAACAAACAAACATTTTGCTTTATGTATATGTATATGCATCTGGTGCATGTGGAGGCTAGAAGAAGTGTTGGATCTTCTGAGACTGGACATTCAGATGATTGTGAACTACCGCGTGTGTGTGTGTGTGTGTGTGTGTGTGTGTGTGTGTGCTGGAAACCAAACCTGGGTTTTCCAAGAGCAATAAGTGCTCTTCACTACTGAGTCACCTCTCCAGCCTCACTGCTATACTGTTTGTTTATTTGTTTATTTATTTATTTATTTTTGTTTGATGGATAGTTTAAACTCTACAGTTGGTCAACACAGAATAAAGGGTGCCGCACACACTCAGGAGCGTATCTTTGGCTGAGTAAAGTCTAGCCTTATTTCCTCATTGGCCAGAGGAACCCATTGGCACTTAAACTTTGTAGAATTCCTTTAGGAAGTACCTAAAACAGGTATACATAGTACCCAACGAACACCAGATACTAGCAGGCCTCTTGGAAGTGGGAGTTGCTACAGCTCCACCAAGTGAGAAGCTGTTTTCTCTGATTTGTTGAACAAAAGCTGCAGAAGGGCACAGACTAGAACAGAAGACATTTTGGAGTCCAAGAAGCTTCCAGACTTGACAGCATGAATCAAACAAGCTGTCCAAAGTCACACTGAGATTGGGGCTTTGGGTCACTGCAAGTTAGAGCGATTGGGATCTGGTAGCTGAAGAAGGACCTACGGAGGGGATGCCTTGACTGTATGGTTCTGTTGTTGATGATGGCGGGTGTTGTGGGTAGGTACTGATGGCACTGGTGAAGGGCTGGCAGAGCGAAGATGTAACTGTTCAGCAATACGTCCTTGAGGAGGGGCAAATTCCATCCGTGGTAACTCAGGTCAGAGCTCACAGACTTACCTGTCTGTCTGTGTTTCTCTGTGTTCCTCTCCTGCCCACCTGACCCGTTGTTGTGGTCACACATACAGGATGCTGCTGTGTACCCAGGCCAGCTTTTCCTTGGCAGCCTCTTCAGCAGGATTTCCCAAAGTGTGTTCTGGCCCTTGCCCTTGACGTTACCTTGGGAGAGATTGGTAGTGCCGGCCCTGGCTGAGTCTCTCCTTGGAGGATCTCATCACAGGCGTGCAGAGGTCCTGCTGAA